GAAAAGGACTCTGGCAAATGCAAAGGTAGACAAATTTACTTAGAAAAAAGAGAAGCGCTCCAACAGCATCTCATTCAAATTAGTACGGATTGTGTACTTCAGGTACTGGCTGATAGTGTAGGAATTAGGGATCCTTCCTGCTTAGTGTACGTGAAAACGAAAAGGGATTGAAAAGAAAGTTATATTTAGTTTCCCGCAGAAAAAGATGACATTAATAAAAGTACTGTCCTGTATTAGCGTGTCAAATGTGTGGCAAAAAAGAAAAGAAAAACAACATATACGTAACTCGCAATAAACGCGCATTAGTTGTTTGTTATCCTACGTACCGTGAATGCATCCTAATCCAGGACACGCCCCCTCGGGGTCTGTTGGGTTCCGCCCACAAAGTTACTCAGCCAGGTGACAGCTGAGCCAGCAGAGGAGCAGCGCGGAGCTCTACGCAGCCCAGCACACGAAATAAGCGGATCCGTCTGCGCCAAATCAGAGTCGACCACAAGCCGCCACTTAATAATCACGCTCACTGTTTGTTTATTTACATGTGCGCGCTCTGAACGCTCCGTCTTCCGCTCGTCGTTGCACAGCTAGCAGCGCCAGGACGTAACGACACAGCGGCTAGCTTGACTCGGTAACTCCCGGAGAAGACTCGGCGGTGTTTGTGTCCAGGTGACGTTAACAAGACGGACGACATGTCAGAGCCGGTCGGGGATGCGAAGCTGGAGGTGAAGCAGGCGAGCAAAGAGGTGAAGGAGAGCGAAAACGTGGCGGAGAAATACTCAGCCATGACCGTCAGCAAGAACAGCGAGATGAACATGGGAGAGCTGTCGACCGTGTTCAGCGCGGTGCCCACTCACAAACCTGTCAAAAAGGTAAGCGTGTGCACGACACGGCGAGGACGCGCAGGTATTACAACTAGATCTGAGATTATACAGGCTGACCTTCTACTGCTGTTAGTCTGGTATAGACTCCAGCGGACTTTGTGGCATCTTTCTGCTCATCACTGCTTGTTGGTTGTGTTGGTCTCCACAGTGCACAAAGTCAACAGTCCTCTGGTAAATAAAGGGAGCAGCTGTAATCTCTAGGAAGGCAAACATATATGACAGAGTTTAAGGATTTGCATATCCACAGCTAGTCATTTACATAACACAGATTAATAGCACAGCTCGTCTCCTAATCTGTGAGGTATCTATTTAATAAAGCAAATAGCTATACGCTGTAGAAGTACTGCTATTGCATGTAATACACATGTTATATATGCTCCCAAAAAGTTTTTCCTTTCCTCTCCCCATTTTGTAAAGTAGTAATGGAAAGCTACATGTCATGCCACAAGTCAGTTCTAACATTTTCTGCATATGTAGAAGTAGACAAGTGTGATCAAAGGCTGAAATTAAAAGAAAAAAAAAAAGTCACAATTGTTCTTCAAGTCAGGTTTATGAGCACCAATCACAAAGGTGCTCTACAATCTGTGTGATTTTACATCAAATAAAACAGATTCCTGCACAGAAATACCAGCTTAATACCAGTCATCACAATTTCTATCTCAAATAAAATGTGTGCTGCCTAACCAGATCCGACTTAGCGAATCAGCAGAACCATTGTTGCATGTTGCAGAAGACAGACGACACTTTAAAGGAACAAGGAAGCGCTGCGCCTTGAGTTCTTGAGGCTCGAGAATGGGAAATATTTGCACTCTTTATCGAAGTTGGACGAGCGTGGACAAATAAATGCCTCTTTTGAACAAAATCTATTCTGTTTTTGCGTTGAGAAAACATTGAGCTCAATCATGACAAGGAGTCTGTCAGATGCAAAGTCCAAACATGCCCCGCTCAGGATTTATGAGACAGCCTGGCAGCGTTGTTACACATCTACTGTTTCACATCCTCATTCTCCTCTTGGAAAGACCTCAGCGCAGCCTGCAATGTCTGGAGCCTTTTGTTTGGCTGCAGGGTGGGAAGTTGTGTTACTGGAATGAAATCGGTTGTGCTCACTGAGCGGCGCAGAGTTTTGGGAAACTTTGACGCACATCAACACATAACTTCCTGTGCCAAACAACACAACAGATGTAAGGTCATAGCAACAGAGTTACCACAACTTACAAGTTGTTTACGTAATGCACGGTCGGACCAGGATGTGCAACTCTTTCCTGAACAGGTGATGGATTCTTTCTTTATCTTATGAAGTCACGTGGAGCTCCGTCTATTTTGGAGATGTTTGCTGTTCGTGCAGTTTGTGCCTCTGAACTCCAGGTTCAAAGACATCTGCTCCAGAGACAGAAGTGTTTCTCTTATGTAACGGTTTGGAGCTATATTCTTATCTCATGGAGTTAATGTTCAACTATTGATGTTGGAGCTGCGCTGAAAGCTTGAAAAGTTGGAGTTAAGTTTGTGTTTTTAGCTACTTTTGATACTCACGCCCTGTAAGTCATATTTGGCCAAGCAATCTCATTGACTAACATTTATAGACAACGATAGCGCCTTAATGACAAATAGTCTTGGCGAGGAACAAATTCTTGGAAAAAGCTCACAGGAAAAGATGTTGTTTTATTCTAGATATTGCTAAAGAGGTGCATATTTATAGACCGAGGGAAGTGAATTCAAAATATCTGGGCTTTGCTTCAACTTTAACTTTGTTCTGGTAGATTAATCGTTGCAACTGCTTGAGTTCCTTGAAGACGTTCCACCTTCATCCAAGAGGCTTCATCAGCTCTGACTGACTAGTTGGGAGTTCCAGATATCCTAAAGGAGCCATTAACACCTGAGTTTCAATTGGGGGTTTGTTGCTCCTCCCCCTCGTTAGATGGGTCGTTAGTGCTCCCCCTGCCACAACGGGGTTCGTTAGGGTCTTTTGTGGCTCGGTGTGGATGCATCAAGCAGGTCCAGTTGCTACGATTAGTCTGCGAGAATAACCATGACCTGGATGACTGAGAATCAACTTTACCTTTAGTTTCCCAAAGCTGAAGTTTCTCCAGTGACCAGGTAAAACATACAATTCATGCAACCATAACATGCATAAAACATAAATACATTAAATAAAATCATAAACATCCAGTGGCAGGCCAGCTGACATCAACCCGTTTACATCAGTCAGTCCGGCTCTGGGACCCTGAAACACTCGCCATCCTGTCTGAAGGAAAATATGTGGTGTCTTGTCACCTTAATGTCAAGAAAACTGCTTCACATTGTTCTTTGTTGCCAAGTTGTTTAACTGGTATGTGGAGAGTTTTCAGCTCCAGCCTGAACCAATAAAGCAGCAACGGACTGCATTAGAATAAAGAACCCCACTCTAATGTAATGATGAAGAGAACGAGGCTAAGTGGTAATAATGACGGGAATGTCTCGCTCACACACAGATCAGGATGAAGGTTTGCAGGCTGATTCATCTCCGTCTCATCCTTGTCGTCTTTAAATCTCTCCCTTTTTTTCCCTTTTAGCTGAGATCTGGCATTGCAAAGAGAATGAAAACAAACACATTCCACAAAGTGCTGAGGTGTAGAAATCTGCCCGTCCACGTGTTTTCATACCTCAGCTTATGAGTTTGCATGTGAGAAAATAACATTACAGCACCTGGAGGTCTTTTATCTGGAGCTCATGTTACTCCAGTGCATGCACAATCCACAATGTGGGTACTGCTGGGATAAAAAGATCGCTGACGAGGCTCGAAGCTGGGTACACACAACAAAAATAGCTGTTTTTTTCCTCTTACAGGTGCACAATTATACAGAATATAGACACAGAAAAATGTACAATATTTAAATACATAAAAAAATAAACTGGCAGCAGCTGATATATATATATTTTTTGCCTTTATTTTTAGAGCAGTAGAGATAGACAGGAAAGAGGGGAGAAGAATGGGGCAGCAACGAGTTGTGAGCGGGAATCGAACCCACGACTGCTGTGTCGGGGAACTATAGCCCTGTTTATGGGTCGCCCGCTCAACTGGGTGAGCTATAGTGGTGCCTGCAGCAGCTGATATTTGATCAGAGCCACAAAAAAAAGCAGTACAGGGATTGATAACACAGTTCCATCCAATAGCTGTAAATCTGTTGCATTTCAGACCTGTCACTTTAATGTCACATCGTGATCATTTTTAGCTCCAATGCTCATTGAAATATGATTTGTTCAACACAAACTCTTCATTTCAAGCTAATTTCAACATGAAGACGTGCGTGCATATGGACCCACTTACTGCTTTTATTTACCAGCGGGGGCTCAAATACTATGACTGGGAGTTTTTTGATTGCAGCAAAGCTCTGAGGGGATGTTCGCTGTTGTTACACAAGCATGAGTCGGACGGGGTCATCCAAAATTTGGCTGGGGCGTTTTCATTTTGGAACATCAGTCCTGATCATGCAATGTCCGTTGGGCTGCAGCCAGACATCTATTTTTGGCAATACAACAAAATAGGCTTACTAATTTGAGTAGGATTATCATGTTGCCCAAGTGTTTCAGCAAAGAACTTCATTTCACTCTGTTCACATCCAGTCAAGTCAACAAAAAGAGCACCGCTCCCATGACTGCGCCAGAAGTAGTGTTCTTTTTTTAACCGTTAACAGCACGCACACTGAAGCACGGTATAAATTTTTAATCTTCTTCTGTCTTTACATTTTAGGGTTAGTTTGGGTTTCATTTAATGCAGTTTAAATCTCTCATCAGATATCTTACAGTAAACAACATGACTTTTGTTTGTTTCAGCAAATCCAGTTTGTGGAGGACAAGCAGGAGTTCAGCAGGTTTCCCACCAAGACAGGACGCCGCTCGCTGTCCCGCTCCATCTCCCAGTCGTCCACAGACAGCTACAGCTCTGGTAGGAAGGCAAGCTTCATGTCTGCAGCGGAGCTCAGTTCCTCTGTGGTACAATATTTGCCATGAATTAATGATTTAGATTCACTTTGTGTTATTACAAATATTAACTGAG